GCAGATGGCGTGTTCGCACAACATGCGCTGGCCTACGCTTTTTCCTCTCGATGCTTGTTTTTCCTCCTCGAGTATGATTTATGTGTCATTACGTATCATTGTGGTTTGCTCCAGTGCGTTTGAATCATACAGAGCAGAGTGGAAATCATTTTCCTCCATCAGACATCAGAGAGCGGCCCGATTCAGAGCTCAAGCCGCTGGACCTGCAGGCCTGTAATTACGGCCGACTGGAGTCATGGAGCGAGCAGATACAATAACATCACAAAAACACTTCAGATCAACCTCACGTCTCAAAGGACGAAGGAACGGAGGAGCCCACCGCTGCATTTATATATCAGGAATCCCCAATCATTTTCCATCATGAATGTTTGTGAAGTCACTGACATCCATCAGAGGACTAACACCAGCGCTTCACTGCTGCCACCTGCTGTCCTCAACCAGCACAACACACTCCTCAAATACAGCTGCTTTCCAGTGCATTATAGAATCAGAATCAGCTTTATTGACAGGTATGTTTACACATACGAGGAATTAGTTTTCGGGACAGAAGCTTCCGCGGTGCAACAGAATGACAATAAAACAATACAAATAGAACAAGTAAATAGGGAATAACAATGTACAAATTGACAATTTGTATGTACAGGTATATTATGTGCAAATTCGAAATGTAAACTATGTATGTTATATAAATGTATAAGTATATATATAGGCTACTATATATACAGTAAGTGTATTTATTATAGTGGAAAAAGGGTTATTAGCAGTGTTAGGGAGTAACGGAATTACGTAATTTAATTACAAAATAAATGTAACTGTAATCAGTTACTTGTAAAAATTTTAAAGATTACAAAAAAGATTACATCTGAATATTTTCACACGCATACAGATTTAAATGATTTCTTTCATAAATTGCATCAACTGCTCTAAAATATGAGACACTAATGTTTCAGGAGTTTAGGACACTATTACATAACTGTTTTTTCCCCCTGTTTGGATTTATGTATATGCTTTATTTTTAAGATGAACTGTTTTTCCACAGCACTGTTAGATGTTTCCTGATATATCGCTTTGCAAAGATTTCATTTCAAATCTATTAAACTATCTTATGGTTTTAAATCTGTATTTAACCTCAAATCAATCTCAAAGTAAAAAGAGGTGCTAAAGTCTGGTTTTGTGGTGGCTGTGCTTCAAAATTCAATGATTATAATCTTAATTCAAGTGATGAAGGATTGTGAAAGTCTGACAGTAATCAGTGTTGAGGTTAACCTGCCTGCTTTACATGTTTCAAAATGATTATCAGTAGAAAACATTTGTTAGAAGTAATCAAATGTAATCAGTTACATTACTTTAATAAAGTAATTGAAATAGTTACTTATTACATTTTAAGTAGGGTAACTTGTAATCTGTAACCTGTTACATTTCCAAAGTAACCTTCCCAACACTGGTTATTATAAATGTTCTTCAGACTAAGAAAAAAATGGTTCTTTTATGAACTGATCACTGAAAGCTTCTTTGAGGAACCATAAATGGTTCTTCTGTGGCATCACCGTGAAAACCCCCTTTATTTCAGAAACAATCAGTGGATGTCTGTTGGATTTGAATGTGATTTGATCTCAGTCATATGATCATCTGTTTTTCATCATTATGATTTCTGATGCAATGAGGTTTGTTTTTTTTTGCACTTTCAGCTTCTGCATTTTCCTGTGATCGTCCCTCCAACGTGTCAGCCCTTGCACAACGAAAATATATTTCCTTATATGTTAAAGATCAAAATGTTACATGATTTAATGCATTTTAAATATATATACATAATATATTGTGGTAATATATTGCATTATATTGAATAATACACAATACGCTTTTCATATATTTACAAATATGTGACAACACACTTATATATAGGCCTATTGTAATGTATGGCATTTTATATGGTTTTACACTTCATATATATATATATATTTTCACATTTCACAACCACGTTGCATGACTTTAACAAGACATCCAATTCCCCCAAAAATGTCTTATGTGTCATCACACATATTTTCGTATGACATGTTATTATGCAAACAGTAAAGTGAGATAAACGTTTATGAATATGTGTTCAGCTTTATGTTAACCCATTCATTAACTCATGAAGGAGAAATGAAATCATTTGCTGTATTACAGCTATTACATGTAAAAATGTAGTGCAGTTGTTTTCTTCCTGTGTATTTTTATATATAGCTATGCATGCATGGTCATTGCATATATTGCACTATAATGACAAATGTCATAAGCACTGGTCTCCCATATATGGAAATGTAGTATTTAATATATGGCAATATATTTTCCAGTATTTTTTCAAATCTTTTTGTTTCATAAGGGAGTCACATGACTTGATTTGCTTACACACACACACATGCCATTTTATATTTCTATGAACACAATATAATATTCACTCAGGAGCAAAAGTACATTTTTAATGAGTCTCTGACCTGCTTGAGCTGAACATTTACAGCAGCTGTCAGAGCAAAAGCAGCTTTAAAGCATCTTATTGTGGATGACATGTCAGCTGGTGTTTTATTGATGTGAAGACTCATTCAGGAGACGCCCTTCACTCATGTCCTCTCTGCCAAAGCCTCACACTCACTACATATTGAATATCATCAGATGCAGTGCACAATGTCAGGCCATATGAATTATTAAGAGAGACAGAAGCAGACCAGAGGTGCATTCAGGATAGAGATTCACCTGAGAAAGAGCACATCTGATGCTGAAACTCTTCTTACTAAAGTAGATTCGATACATACATAATTCCAAATTAATACCATACATACCTGAGAAGTTAAATAAATACACTAGAAAACTGCACACTTTCAAGGACCTACATTGAATACATGTGTGGAGTAAGAACATATAAGGAGTCGAAGTGTTTAAAACATACGAGCACAGTTCAGTTGAATGATAAAGTTTACCCTGATGAATATGCTAACATTAAATGCTCTCTTTGTTAATGATGAGAGAACTGATTCAAACTCAAATTCGATTCGCTAGCAAAAACCAAATCAAAAGAGCCATTGATTTTCAAATGTTGTAATGATCAGATCGTTTGATTCATATCGGGACTCCGGAGCGCGTATCGCGAATCATTTGAGATCGGAAGTGGGTTTGCGAAACATTTGATTGAGATTGGGACTTCGGAGCGCAGAGCGTGAATCATATGATACAAATCGAGACTGAGGAGTGCGGATCGCGAATCACGAATCATTTGAATTAGATCGGGACTTTGGAGCGTGAATCATTTGAATTAGATCGGGAATTTGGAGCATGTATCGCAAATCATTTGAGATCGGAACTTCGGAGCGGGTTCACGAATCTTTTGATTCAGATCGGGACTTCGAGCACGTATTGCGAATCATTTGATTCAGATCGGAACTTCAGAGTAGGTTCATGTATCTTTTGATTCAGATCGGCACTTCCCAGCGCGTATCGTGAATCATATGATTCAAATCGGGACTGAGGAGTGCAGAATCATTTGAATTAGATCGGGAATTCGGAGCATGTATCGCAAATCATTTGAGATGGGAACTTTGGAGCGGGTTTGCAAAACATTTGATTCAGATCGGGACTTCGGAGCGGGTTCATGTATCTTTTGATTCAGATCGGAACTTCCCAGCGCGTATCGTGAATCATTTGATTCAGATCGGAACGTCAAGAGTAGGTTCATGTATCTGTTGATTCAGATTGGAACTTCCCAGCGCGTATCGTGAATCATTTGATTCAGATCGGAACGTCAAGAGTAGGTTCATGTATCTGTTGATTCAGATTGGAACTTCCCAGCGCGTATCGTGAATCATTTGATTCAGATCGGAACGTCAAGAGTAGGTTCATGTATCTGTTGATTCAGATTGGAACTTCCCAGCGCGTATCGTGAATCATTTGATTCAGATCGGAACGTCAAGAGTAGGTTCATGTATCTGTTGATTCAGATTGGAACTTCCCAGCGCGTATCGTGAATCATTTGATTCAGATCGGAACGTCAAGAGTAGGTTCATGTATCTGTTGATTCAGATTGGAACTTCCCAGCGCGTATCGTGAATCATTTGATTCAGATCGGAACGTCAAGAGTAGGTTCATGTATCTGTTGATTCAGATTGGAACTTCCCAGCGCGTATCGTGAATCATTTGATTCAGTTTGGGACTTTGGAGCGCGTGTCACAAATCATATGATTCAAATCGGGACTGAGGAGTGCCGATTGCGATTCACCAATCATTTGAATTAGATTGGGAATTTGGAAAATGTATCTTTTTCTTTCTTTCTTTTTATTTAACAGTACAAAAGATCAAGCCATTAAGCCAGTACAGTTATAAAAACAAAACAAAGAAAAAAGAAAGGAAGAAAGTGTACACATACAAAACCCTTAAGAAAATTTACCATGGTTTTTTGGCATATTGGTTAGCATTTGTATTACCACAGTTTACTACATGCATGTTTAAACTATGGTTAGTGCAGCAAAACCATGGTTAATTTGTGGTTAGGGAACAAACTA